GAGGAAGCTTTGTAGTCCTTTCGTTTATAAAACTTTTCAAAGTGGCGGAAACAAATTTTTTTCTTTATAGAAACATGTTATATGAGATGTTAATGAACATCTAAATTTACAACTTGTTTTGTAGGTATTTAGAAAAAAGTGTTATAATTATTACACGTTCTTAAGGAATATTACACGTTATTACGCGATATTACGCGTTATAACGAATATTACTGTTTATTACACACATACGATAAGACATTACACAAATACAACTCAGTGTTACGTAATTTTCTAGCAACACTAAGCTTCATAACACACATTTTTTGTAGGTTTTTTGAAAAAAGTGTTACAATTATTACACGTTATTACGGATTATTACATGTTATTACGCGATATACGCGTTATTACGAGTATTACCGTTTATTACAAAGATAATATAAGACATTTCACAAATACTACTCAGTGTTACGTAATTTTCTAGCAACCCTGAGCTTCATAACACACATTTTTTGTCGGTATTTGGAAAAAATGTTATAATTATTACACGTTATTACGGAATATTACACGTTATTACGCGATATTACGCGTTGTTACGAGTATTACCGATTATTACAAAGATACTACTCAGATTTGGTGTATTTTGTGCGAGAATATACAATAAAATCTTGTGCCTAAGAAAAATTTAATTTTTTTGGGAAGTTTTTTGTAGTCCTGGATGACTTTTTGGTGGTAATAAAGGTCTTCCTCTACTCGGATTTGGGAGTCAATTTTTTTCTACACTTTTTGGTGTATTTTGTGCAAGAATATACAATAAAATCTTGTGCCTAAGAAAAATTTAATTTTTTTGGGAAGTTTTTTGTAGTCCTGGATGACTTTTTGGTGGTAATAAAGGTCTTCCTCTACTCGGATTTGGGAGTCAATTTTTTTCTACACTTTTTGGTGTATTTTGTGCAAGAATATACAATAAAATCTTGTGCCTAAGAAAAATTTAATTTTTTTGGGAAGTTTTTTGTAGTCCTGGATGACTTTTTGGTGGTAATAAAGGTCTTCCTCTACTCGGATTTGGGAGTCAATTTTTTTCTACACTTTTTGGTGTATTTTGTGCAAGAATATACAATAAAATCTTGTGCCTAAGAAAAATTTAATTTTTTTGGGAAGTTTTTTGTAGTCCTGGATGACTTTTTGGTGGTAATAAAGGTCTTCCTCTACTCGGATTTGGGAGTCAATTTTTTTCTACACTTTTTGGTGTATTTTGTGCAAGAATATACAATAAAATCTTGTGCCTAAGAAAAATTTAATTTTTTTGGGAAGTTTTTTGTAGTCCTGGATGACTTTTTGGTGGTAATAAAGGTCTTCCTCTACTCGGATTTGGGAGTCAATTTTTTTCTACACTTTTTGGTGTATTTTGTGCAAGAATATACAATAAAATCTTGTGCCTAAGAAAAATTTAATTTTTTTGGGAAGTTTTTTGTAGTCCTGGATGACTTTTTGGTGGTAATAAAGGTCTTCCTCTACTCGGATTTGGGAGTCAATTTTTTTCTACACTTTTTGGTGTATTTTGTGCAAGAATATACAATAAAATCTTGTGCCTAAGAAAAATTTAATTTTTTTGGGAAGTTTTTTGTAGTCCTGGATGACTTTTTGGTGGTAATAAAGGTCTTCCTCTACTCGGATTTGGGAGTCAATTTTTTTCTACACTTTTTGGTGTATTTTGTGCAAGAATATACAATAAAATCTTGTGCCTAAGAAAAATTTAATTTTTTTGGGAAGTTTTTTGTAGTCCTGGATGACTTTTTGGTGGTAATAAAGGTCTTCCTCTACTCGGATTTGGGAGTCAATTTTTTTCTACACTTTTTGGTGTATTTTGTGCAAGAATATACAATAAAATCTTGTGCCTAAGAAAAATTTAATTTTTTTGGGAAGTTTTTTGTAGTCCTGGATGACTTTTTGGTGGTAATAAAGGTCTTCCTCTACTCGGATTTGGGAGTCAATTTTTTTCTACACTTTTTGGTGTATTTTGTGCAAGAATATACAATAAAATCTTGTGCCTAAGAAAAATTTAATTTTTTTGGGAAGTTTTTTGTAGTCCTGGATGACTTTTTGGTGGTAATAAAGGTCTTCCTCTACTCGGATTTGGGAGTCAATTTTTTTCTACACTTTTTGGTGTATTTTGTGCAAGAATATACAATAAAATCTTGTGCCTAAGAAAAATTTAATTTTTTTGGGAAGTTTTTTGTAGTCCTGGATGACTTTTTGGTGGTAATAAAGGTCTTCCTCTACTCGGATTTGGGAGTCAATTTTTTTCTACACTTTTTGGTGTATTTTGTGCAAGAATATACAATAAAATCTTGTGCCTAAGAAAAATTTAATTTTTTTGGGAAGTTTTTTGTAGTCCTGGATGACTTTTTGGTGGTAATAAAGGTCTTCCTCTACTCGGATTTGGGAGTCAATTTTTTTCTACACTTTTTGGTGTATTTTGTGCAAGAATATACAATAAAATCTTGTGCCTAAGAAAAATTTAATTTTTTTGGGAAGTTTTTTGTAGTCCTGGATGACTTTTTGGTGGTAATAAAGGTCTTCCTCTACTCGGATTTGGGAGTCAATTTTTTTCTACACTTTTTGGTGTATTTTGTGCAAGAATATACAATAAAATCTTGTGCCTAAGAAAAATTTAATTTTTTTGGGAAGTTTTTTGTAGTCCTGGATGACTTTTTGGTGGTAATAAAGGTCTTCCTCTACTCGGATTTGGGAGTCAATTTTTTTCTACACTTTTTGGTGTATTTTGTGCAAGAATATACAATAAAATCTTGTGCCTAAGAAAAATTTAATTTTTTTGGGAAGTTTTTTGTAGTCCTGGATGACTTTTTGGTGGTAATAAAGGTCTTCCTCTACTCGGATTTGGGAGTCAATTTTTTTCTACACTTTTTGGTGTATTTTGTGCAAGAATATACAATAAAATCTTGTGCCTAAGAAAAATTTAATTTTTTTGGGAAGTTTTTTGTAGTCCTGGATGACTTTTTGGTGGTAATAAAGGTCTTCCTCTACTCGGATTTGGGAGTCAATTTTTTTCTACACTTTTTGGTGTATTTTGTGCAAGAATATACAATAAAATCTTGTGCCTAAGAAAAATTTAATTTTTTTGGGAAGTTTTTTGTAGTCCTGGATGACTTTTTGGTGGTAATAAAGGTCTTCCTCTACTCGGATTTGGGAGTCAATTTTTTTCTACACTT